CATTTTTCCTACTTGATTGGCAGCTTGGCTAGTACACAATGCTAAACGGTGAGCCATACAACGATATTTATCATAAATGGGTTCCCTTTCTTGAGAAGTGTGCTCACTCCCCCAACTCTTCCCGTCATGATGGAAGCCCCATCACTTCCAAAACACATTACTTTATCAACAGGAATGGAACAGGCCGCAATAACATTTTGTATTTTCTGAGTCACAAAAGGTGCTGTACACTGCTTCTCTTCAATGGTAATGTTTGTGAGAAAATGTGTCTCTGGGACAATACCATCAGATATCAATTTGGCATAAATTAACAGTTTCTTTGAAACAGCAATGTCAGTACACTCATCTGCCATAATGCTTACAAATGGAGACTTGTGTAGCTTTTCAGTTATTTCATCTTGAATGCATTCAGCAAGGACGGACTGGAAGTCCTTAGCAGTTTGAACTGAATTGTATGAGGCATTTTTCGCTACATTAAGGTTTTCAATGTCTTTACATCCTTGCAGTTTTAAAAGATTCATCAAAGAGTTATATTTCTCAGTAGCAGCATGTTCCTTGGCAAGCCAGTAAACAGTTCTCATTCCACCTTCGACAGCTTGCTCCTGGGATGAAACAGAATTCATCACAGCTTCTTGAAAAGATTCCGTCATTTCGATCTCTTGAAGAGCATTTCGGTGGTCTTGACTTTCTATATGGCGAACTAGTGTTGAAGTCCCATAGTTTATGCAACCAGTGGTGAAAGGATTGGATTTACCTGATTGTTGGCAACACGAACAGAACGTAAGACTGTGATCTTAGGAAAATCCACAGGGGTACCCTTCGGTGGATCGTACTTCAACCATTTGTATTTTTCAAGCCAGGAATCTTGAAAGTTTCGCTTTGCAACTTTAGCTTTCAGTTCACTCCCCTGATCTTTTCCAGGCTCAGCTTCATCGGTTTCTGCGTTTTCAGCATTGTTTTCTGGTTGCTCTCGGCCAAAAACTGCTGAAATCTTTCTTTGTTTTGACATGACTTTGTTCAGCTCGATCGGTCACCACTATGGTGGCCCAACGTTGTCATAGTAAAATATGTACGATTTTGCGAAGAAAGAATAAAAAATAGAAAGAAACAAAAAAACATAAGAAATAAAAATAGAAAAAAAAGATGTAAAATTATATTAAGTAAAAAATTATTTGAAAACAGATATCTAAAACGAGAAAAAGGTAAAAAAAAAATGGGGTTATATCAACCAAGGCAAAATTGTAATTAAGTAATAAAAAAAACCTAGGAAAAATTTATTCGGAAAAACCGTGACATTGAAAATCAACAGAGAAAATCAATGCCAAAAATCAACATTGAAAATCAACATTAAAAACAACATTGGAAACCTACATAGCAAATCAACATTGGAAACAACATTGAAAATCAACATCGAAAATCAACATTAAAAATCAACATTAAAAAAAAAAAAATCCAAAAAAACTCGTTATATCCACGTGGCCTATCGTTATCATAGACCAGGATGCTTTACACCAAACATTTCAGTAACTTTCCCGCCTTTTATGGTGTCCTACGGAAAATGCGCGCGGTTTACCCCAAATCAACTTCGCTCCAGGGTCTCCTAATGAGAATAGTGTAGAACAGTGTAGGCATTTGTTTTAAGTCTGGTCTTTGATTCGCGATGCCACCAAAAATGAACCATTTGTGGAAGGCCCTTCAAAAGAAAATGTCAGACAAAAGAACGCAGCAAGTAACACGACCCCGCAAAGGTGACAAAGGAACGGCTCCAAGCGAGATCGTGGTGCAAAGGCTTACGGCTGAACCTGACAACAAAAAAACGTATCGACCGGTGCAGCCGAGACAACTCGTCGAGTTTTCTAGGGACGATTTAACGCTAGAAAACCTCAAGATTGCTTGCGCGGAACACTTTGGCTATCCGGTAAACTCGTGCGATGTGCTGGTCTCAAACAAGGGGCCGTCATGTACCAACATAAACCAAATACCTCACCGCAAAGACAAGGTAAGCAAACTGCTAGTCGTTTACTGAGAGAACTGCCAAATGCATCAAATAGATTTGTTTCGGCCAGAAACTCATAAGGGGTTGAAACGTGTCGCTCGCGTTCAATACTCGTGAATATTCACTTTTACCAGGAGCCGATTATGGCTCCTGCTTTTACCATATTTGTAAACCTTAGTGATATCTATTTTCAACAAAATGGCTGCCGCGCGATCACCATGCGGTGGTTTTGAGGTCAGAGTTCTGCACTTCAAGGTTAAAAATACACCGTTAAAAGACAAAAAATAGTAAGAGAAATTTCTAAAGAATGCTCAGTTTTCTTTCTGTGGAGGAAGGAAAGCTTTTCATCAAGAAATCGTCCTTCAGAGAATTCAACCTTGTTTTCTTCAGGTACATTTTGCACTCTATGGCCAAGAAAATTACGTTTTTGAAAGGGAATTTATTTATTTCATAGTCGTTTTATACATTATTTTTCTTCGGCGCTAAAAGAAAATTACAAAATGCGCTTCGATTTGAGATGGATTTTGTGTTAAATTTTGCCATGTGCTCAGCTGATTTTACTCGCGTGAACGGATCCACGATCCAGATAGTGTCACTTGCGAATTACTTAAAAGGATTAACTTTTTGGATTTTGAATACTAATTTTCAAGAAACGGCTTCTCTGTCTATTGTTTTGAGTTTCTTCATTCATAAAATTAGTTCAAGGCCTGTTACTACGACATCCAAGTTGAAATGGTTCTCACCTTACACGCTTCACTTTTGCGAAGATGTCGGCGAATTTTATACAATTTTTACTTTCAGGTTCAATTGTGGACACTTTTCGATACGCAGCTAATGAATTTTATGTGAAAATATGTTTTACTGTTTATTCTAGACATTTAATATGAGAAGGGGGGCTGGTGGGATTCAACGGGTAGCTTCTGTGGTATATGATGCCCCCCCCCCTTCAAAAAAAATTTTTTGGGGGCCCCCCCCCCCCCCCTTGTGTCCCAAATTGAGATGACGCCCACCACTCGCACAAAAAAAAAAAAGAAAAAGAAAGAGAGAGAGAGAGAGAACAGAGAACAAATGAAAAATGACTGAGTTTGTTTCTTTTTCCTAATGAAACGTTGGATTTGGTATGCTTTATGGCATTTTAGTGGAGTAGAATTGCCTTTTGGTGCATAATAAAGTAGGGGGTCCAGGGGCATGCTTAAATTATTGGAAATGTGATATATGTTAAAATAGTATAGATATGATATGGAGTGCCCACTATCAAAATTGGAGTACAGTATATATTCTCTTTTTTCTAAATAGTGTTTTCTATTTATTCCTATCAAACCTCATTTCATTGTCTTCTGTTTTTAATAGGTATACCTCGTTAGATTTGTGCCCAATTTAGAACAAGATGAAGATGATCAATACAAAAGTCTGCCAATGTCAACTGATAATGAGATACACGATAAGCCTGCCAAGCGTGCAAAGTTCGCAAGTGAACCTGCATCACCAACAAAAGCAGCAGAGGTTGCACAAAGTTACCCAGCTTCGGTGTCTATTGCACAACTTCTGAATGCAGGAAAATTTGTTGAGCCAGCCTCCAGAACAAAGACAGTACTGAACTTGGAGTCATTTGACCTACTCAACAAAGAGTGGAAAACAGAGAAATGTCTAAATCTCTTTGTTGATGATGACAAATTTGCATCTGGAGCATTTCGTGATGCATTCAAAGGAACGCCGGAAAGTGGTAGCCAATGTAAAAAACAATGGGTGATAAAGAAGTATAATGACAAGTCAAAGAACACCATTGTAGACACAATAAAGACGACAGTGGAAATCCATACGAGAAAGCAAGTACAAATGCACACTGTGGCTAGACAATTAACCAAGCGGTTTAGCAGCATAGTACCAGAAGAATTTGGCCAATTATTTGCCTATAACAAAGTCTTCTACTCCAGGTTCAGTGATGAGCCAGTGACTGTAGAAGAGTTTGTTTCTGGACAATTCACAAAATATGTAAACAATGATGGAAACTGCATCATTCCAAAAGAAGATAACCACCCAGAGTTTAAAGAAATCTTCGACAAAGCCCAGTGCTTAGTGCACTACACAAGTATAATTACCAAGCAGCAATTGATGCTTTTAGATATTCAGGGTTCAAGATACTCCCTCTACGATCCAGAGATTGCTACTGCAGATCTAATTGATGAGGATGAAGTCTTTTTTTGTTGTGGAAGTCTGTCTTCTACAAGTATTGACAGGTTCAATAATGACCACATATGCAATAAGTATTGTGACATGGTACAAAAGGTTCTTGAAAGTGAATGAGTTAAGGCTATATGTCATGTTACATCTTAAGTTAGGGAAATATCAGTTACACTGAATTTGGAATGACTGGTCGTTATCTTAGGGGAAGGGTCCAGAGCAGGTATATCAGAGGGAGACACTAACTGTTAATGCAGAGCCCAACAAGTTTACAATACATTACACGTAGTGGGATAGCTTCAAGTCATTACTAAGTTTAATATCACTTTTTCACCAGTCCCCTCACTGTAAATAATAAACACCTCCTTCACAAATCAGTTGTATTTGGTGGGCTGCATCCTCTCAAAATCCTACACATCCTGCATGGGATTACACTGTAGTTTGTTAATTAGGGCAAAAGTAACAACTTTGAATTTTCTACAAAGAATTTTGTGTGATAGTAACCATCAGGTAGCTTTCTTTAACACTGAACCAATTGGTGGCTCCAGGGAAGCTACAAACCTAGAGAAACTAGTTAAAAAAAATTATTTACCATGGATCTCTTTGTCCCTACTTGTTATTTATTGCCTAATTTCTTTTTGACTGGTTGGGACACTGTTGATTTTACATAGTGAAACTGATTTATATAGTTCTGTTGATGGTCATTTTCCCTATGTTTGATCACTTCTGCAAGCCAGAAGGAGTCACAAAAGTTGAATGGAAGATGAGCAAAAATCCCAAGTGAGGTTTCAATGCTTTTTTTGGGTGAAGATCAAAGTAAATG